GTTTTTGGAGTAGCCGAGAATAGATAAATAAACATCAGATTTCAATACGAGTGCAATTCCACCACTGCGTCCAATGGCATCAACACGTAAACATAAATATAATTTTTGCTTAACTCGACGAAGTTACATTTTTGCAGCATTAAGTTTTGTTTCTTGTAAGAACAAAACATCGGGATCTTCTTCTCTGATGAGATCAGAGATAGTACGAATGCCACGAGGGTTCCCAAGCCCTCGTGCATTCTAGCTTAGAATTTTCATGGGGACCGGTGGGGCTGAATATCAGCCACCACCAAACATTTGAGAATTGGAATCATAACTATTTCCTAGGGTTTATCTTTATCTTTCAATAGTTTAGAATTTCGGACAGCTTCACCATTTGAAGTGGAGATATCTAAGGCCTTTTCAGACTATCTAGTGGAGCAAAGATAATATAATTTTGGACTCTGATTCCTGTTGATTCTTTTCCACATTCTTGTAATGTTTGCTCTCTTCTTTTTTTTGTTTGATTCTCATTGGAATTGGGTGAAACATGACCTGTTTGTTGAAAGACAGCAATACTCTTAGCTAGAGTACTACTAGTGACATTATCAGTGATATTCTATTCCATGTCATTTGCAAGAATCATAACATTCCGTGGAATTTGTTCCCCCTGATTTGTTGCCTTCATCAACAACATAGCATCTTCCTTGGGAATATTTTTCTGAAATTGTTCTGGAATTGTTGCCTTCATCAGCTCTATACCATCTCCCTTAGGAATCTTTTCCTGGACTTGCTCCGGAATTGTTGCCTTCATTAGCTCCATAGAATCTTCCACAGAATCATTTTCCTGTAATAGCTCCTGAATTCCGACTATGTTACCGTCTGTTTCCATTTCTAGCATTTGCTTACCATTTCCACACCATCGAAGTTAGGCGGTTCTGCATGGTTCGTCGGAGAGTTTGGAACCAGGGAATTCAATTGCTGTTCACGTATAGGACCTTCACTATCTCCAAGATTACCAGCATGTAACCAATGGCCATAGGAGAAGTAAGAAATTTTGTATGCCTCCATAGAAGATCTCTATTAAGAGCATTCCTTTTGGATATGTACCAGCGTGCTACAGATGTAGCAGAAATTTGGGAGTCGGTCATAAGCAAAGCGAACCCAAAAAGGTTTGAAAGATCCCACACAAATCTTCTTACCGCGTAACAGCGATTTGGATACATCCAGGCATACCTGAACTCGAAGGAAATCACCCCTTGAATTTTCATTTTTATCAATGTCAATTTCAATGACTTTACCAAGTTGTCTCCCAATAGAAGCTCCCATCTTCCAATTACGCACCATGATAGGGAGATCGTAAATTCTTACCCAGAAATTCGCCTTAGAGAACGAAATGTGATGAATTTGCTCAAGACCATTAACATCCTTGGTCAAAACCAAATGTTTATAAAAAACCCATGGATCCTCGCGCTTGACTCGTTCCTTATCCCGATCATCTTCAAATTCTGCGAGGAATAGGTTGGGTGAAATGTCCCGAATACTCAAAGTTTTATTTGGCCGCCATAGACGCATTTTGTTGAAATGCTTACTGGTTAAGAGTTTGAACAATAAGCTTTCATCACTTTGATGGGGATTAGGACCTCAGTTTCTTCCACCACCAATGCTTCTTCTTCCTGTTCTGTGAGCGATAACTGTTCACACATCTTCACAATGTCTGATTCCATAGGGGGAATTTCTCAAAAGCTCAAGATAAAACTCGAATATTCGAGACGAAGAAAACCCGCACATGTGCAGGGAGATAGCCTCTACTCAGGGAACCCTCGAGAGGTAGAAGTCTTGGGGTATAGGTGATTATTCCATCTGCAGTTAATGTTTTCCAATCTTCTTCACTTCTATTATGTGATTTTATTGTTTACCATTTTTCTTTCTTAAAAGAATTTCATTTAACAAGCTGAAGTAGCTTATAAGATTGTTTTAGGAGGATCACATTTGAAATAGCACTTTGTGCTTGTTTGGGAATGGTTAAATTATAATTTAAGCAATGAGTCTCACTGAATATGTGACTAAGGGTGTCAATGTGACTCGTCGGCTCAAGCGGCTCGTGGCTCAGCCCGAAAAAAGCTCGAACTGGGTCGGCTTGTAGCTCGGTAAAATCAAGCCGAGACTCGAGCCTCGAGCTGACCAGTGTGGCTCAACAAGCCATTTTCAGGCCGTGATGAGCCGAGCCTTTTTTTTTAAAAAAAAATAGTAACATAGAAAACTTTTAAAAAATTAAAAATAAATAAAATAAAATATGCACAGCTGCCTTGTCAAAGGTAACACAGTGTGCTACCTTTAACAAGGCAGGTGATTGATTACCGGCAACGTAGGTAGCTAAAAACAAAAAAAAAAAAGCCGGCTCGAGTCAAGTCTATATTTTTTGGCCAAGCAAAAGTTCGATTTGGCTCAGGCCAAAAAAAGCCCGAACCATTTTTACTCGAACTGAGCTCGAGATTCAAGTTTCGGCTCGCGACTCGGTTCGTTGATATCCTTGTATATGACTTTAAAATGTGTATAAAGTAGTGAATTCATAGAATAAGTGGATTAAAAAAATTATATTCGACAATTTAAACCATAACAAACTTTGAGAAAAGAACTGATTTCACCTAACAATATCTCTGAAATAATCGAAACCAGTCATATTGAAACTTGTCTCCAAAACACGAGGCCAAAAGAAGATCAAATCAAATTGGTAAGGTACATTGGATAAAATTACATAATTGTTCAAACTTACTCCCTAATGGTTGCACGATGAATCCGAAGCTAAGTTAATAAAGGTCAAATGGTTAGGCATAGAATTAGCGATGCAATGGAAAGTGCTCTTCTGATTCTAACAAATAATTGGAATGGAGCCAATAAAATGGTGACATGTGGACCTAACTATATTATTACCATATACGTAGGGATGGCTAAATAACTCAATAGTTCGGAAAAGCCTCGAGCTGGGGGTTTGGAAAAGCCTCGAGCCAAGCTAGCTCGAGGCTCGAAACCATCTAGCCTGAGCCGGCATGTGTCACGGGCCTTTTTTTGCCCAGACAAGCCAAGCCCGTTTAAAAAAAAAAATTTTGGAAATAACAGCTTTAGCCCGTAGGAAGGGGAAAAAAAAATAAAAAATAGAATTAAAAAAATGAAACAAGCCTGCACGTTGCAGGCAGCTTTGACAAAAAAGAAAAGGAAAAAAAAACCCGAGCCTAGTAGGTTCGGGCAAAAAAAAAAGCTCGAACCTTTTTTTGCTGGAGCTTCGAGTTTCGACTCTTGACTCGACTGACTCGTTGACATAGCTACATATACGACTTCTTGATTACGATTGGATGCCCGAAGTTCACTTGAAAGACCTTTTATACTTGAAGAATAAGACGTATCAATATCTTTATCGTGTTAAAAAAAAAAAATCTCTGTATAAAAAGGGAGCTTCAAGAAAAAAGAAAAAACAAAAAAGAAGTCTATTTAAATTTTAATCACGTTGCTATCAAATATAAAACATATAATTTTTTTTTAGCAGTGCAAGAACTGTTGTACTTTTGACAATAATGTTGTTATTAAATTAATCTCCTTGCTGGAACCGATGTTAATTTGTATTTAATCCATGAAGCAAGATCAGAAAAGATGCTTTAAAAATGTATCGTCTTGTGCTGTACTTTCAAGAATTGTTTCATCAACCAAACCATGTGAAACATCTCGATTAGTGATTATTTTATAAATTAATACACGTCCCTAGGTTAAACTATAAGATGATATAATTTAAAATAAAGGTTTTCATGACTCTACCATTCCATCATTTATATTCTACTTAGTCCTCATTCTTGTGGCCATACATATCTTTCTAGCCAAAGAACAATTTCATTTGAGTGAGTTCGAGTCACGTTGTCATCGATTTATGATAATTGTACATGTCCGGCTTTCCATGAAAACGATATCAAAACTGCATACAAAGGAGCAAGTTCAAATTAATAAAAGGAAGAATTGCAGCCACGGTGCCAAAATTTTCAAATCTTTGTAACTTTTACCCTAACCTTTCATTTATTCAAAAATTTTAAGTGTGTGTGGCTAGAAGACAAATGGATGGAATGCATCCATATGACCGTTGGTTGACTCAAAAAAAATAATTTTGATCACTTTATTAATTATTTCAGTAAGAGTAAAATGGTAACTTCATATATTCCCACATGATAACGTGGTGGTTGTAATGTCGTGTGGGTGGGTAGGTGATGGTGGCCAATAGTGGGTGAGTTTTCTGGTTTCGTTTTGGGTGCAGTGGGGATGGGGTGTTGGGGGAAAAAGCTTTCAAATTTTTTAAATTATTTTAATCATTTTATATAGAAATATATAAAGTTACCAATTTAGTCCTTATTTGATCCC